AACTAACACAATTAAAGTAGCATGGAAAGTCACCCAGACAATCTCCTCACCCCACACTTAAAATTTTGCATTGTCTCCAATGCACATCATAACTATAAGAGGGTAAGAGAACTCGCTAGTAGGCCAAAGGCCGAAGCACTAGCAGCTCATGGGGTACTAAGACTTCTCCCAGGCTTGGTCCTTCGTGCGGGTACCTCACACTTAGTTCCAACCATCTGGTTTGTTTTTGCCTCCTTCCAATAGCTTTGCTTTCCATGCTCCTAGAAAATCAAAAATTGACACTACAAAAAAAGTATTAAAAAAAATAAAAAAAATAAAGAAAGTAGTAAAGCTGGGTTGCCTCCCAATAAGCGCTTGATTTAACGTCGCGGCACGACGTGAATCACTTTCTGCCTTCACCTGAGCTTATGAATTGAGCCCCAGGTTTTGCTTCAAGCTTATGATTATGCTCTTGGGGTGGTACAAATTCTTGCGAGCCAAAAATTAGATAAAGTCTTATGCACTTTTTGGCTCTCGACCGAGGAGTGTAACCTTGCCTAGACGGCCTTGAGAATTTCAAAATATAAGGCTTATCTATCTCTTACTTGGACTCCTTTTTATGCTCATAAGGATCCATTCCCTTTTTACAGTCCGAACATAATGTAGAGAAGTGTTTGGAACGAGGTCCAACGCGCTCCAATACATGAACTTCAAGATTTTCGACCTCCTCAACACCAATAACACTATAGTCAACTAAATGTATATCCTCAACGTCCCTGGTTGAATCTAGTATTACTTCTTTAACATCGACATCCTCAATTTCTAGTTGGTTAGATTGTTGGTGTTCTACTCTGTCCTCCTCCATTATAACCTCAATTTCGGTATCTAATTCACATTCTTCTTGGCTACTATTTAAAATATTGGCTTGTTGAGCATTAAATCCTTCAACAAGTTGACTCACTTGTGCCTCCATGTTGCGAATAGTAGCACCTTGCCTTTGTATGTGCAGTTGTTTCTCATTATCTTGTTCCATAAGGCACCTTAGCATATCCTTGATCTCTTTCAGGTCATCATCCCCGGGTTCTTTGTTCCTATTAACTTCACAAGAAAAAGAAGAACCATCAAAGTAAGGGGTTGGGGGAAGATAAGAAATATAAGCACAACCATAAAAGTAACCATCTTGACCACCACACATATCACATTCCATACATAAGATTGAGTTGGTGCATATAACTCGCTCTCGGGCATATTTCGATAATTTTGCCATGGATGGTTTCCTCCAAAATAAGCATTAGGAAGATCAATAGTAGAATTACCAACATTGAAACTCTCATAAATCAACAGGTAACACAAAATAAAAAAATCAAATACAAATAATAAAAATAAAAGTTCAAACTGTAAACCTAGCAATATGTACACCTACAGCTACACCGTTAGTTCCTCGACAATGGCGCCAAAATTTTATCACGCCCAACTCTAGCCCTAAAAAGGATAAGCGGTTGCTGCAAATATAATCCGGTCTAAAAGTCCGGAGTCGAATCCCATAGAGAATTAATGTTTCACTATAACTGTTCAAATTAACTCGGAAGACAAGCTCGACAATTCCTAAGTTATAATATTAAAATTTTTATGTCTAACTAATTAACTAACAAATTAAAGAAGTAAATTAAAAACTAGGGATGCTAAGAGTTGGAGAAAAGATTAGGAGGTCTAGAGTTATGATTTCCCCAATTGTCGGAATCATTACCGCTATGTCTTCTATAATTTCACCTAAGTATTCTCTACCGATCGTGAGTACTCTGAGTGTCGTAGCTCTCGCTCGAGCAACTACCACAATTTACCTGATGTAGTCTCTCGAACTACACTAGCTAGCACTAATTCTCCGCTCACTATGATCGCACCAAGATTTCGTTATCTCTAATTCCGCCTTTAAACCCTCCGTATTGATCTCTCACATACGTTAGGAGTGATATTATTCAACAACTACCTAAATATGTACTCTCTCTCGAGCATTAAACACCAAATATGCACAATCAATTGATGGCCATTCAATCAACAACAACAAACACGTAGTTGAACAAGTAGAGAAATCCAACGGCTTAATTATATAAAAATATAACAAGAATTCATCCTACAAAAGGTTCTATCAAAACTCTAGATAACAAATTAGCTATTCATAATAGTATGCAAAAATACAATACTAGAATTCATAACCAATAATGGAAATAGGAAGAAGGAAGTGAAAAGCTCGTAGAAGTATTCTCCGCTTTGCTCCTAGTGTGTTCTTGCCTCCTTAGGTCAAATCCCCGGTCTCCTTAGTCTCCTTAGGTCTAAGTTATGTCAAAAGTTCCAATAATAACGTTTTTCTATGTATATATACCAAGTAGGGTTGGGCCCAAAAAATTATATCTTCTCCTACGCGAACAAAGATAGTTTTCCCGGACAGAACGTCCGCGGCCGTGGATTTGGCCGCGGATTTTACCCAGTTTCTACTCACAACGGCGGTCAGTGCGCGGCCGTGCACTTGTCGCGCATTTTTTTACCCTGTTCTGTTTGGAATTTGGAAAAACGTAAAACATGAAAGTTGTAGCCCTTGAATTAGCTTTCAAACCATATATTGTGGAGCTCAAATGGTGTTCTAAACGAAAAATTATGTGCATTTTACTAGACAGTCACTACAAAAAAAACAACATTTAACGACGGATTTTAGCGACAAGTTTAGTTCCGTCGCTGATTAGCGACGAATTGGCTACGGAATAATTGTTTCGTCGCAAAAAAAGCCAAAAAATAGTTAGTATATAATATAGCGACGGAATAGCGATGAAATCGAAAATTTGTCGCTAATTGTTGGCGCTAAATATTGGCGCCCTCAATTCACCTACGGATTTAGCGACAAACACTGAGCGACAAAATTCATTTAACTACAGCGACAGAATCAGCAACCAAATATCCGTCGCTAGCCTTAATTTCTTTATCAAAATTTTTTAAAACTCGTTGCTACAAAAATATCCGTCGATAATGTACTCTTTAATGAAAAATAATGTTATTTTTAGCGACGAAAATTGAGCCGTAGCTAAATCCATCGCTAAATACCACTTAATTATTTACCCTAGGGCACAAATTAGTAAAACATCAGTCTTTCTTCTAACAGAGTAGAAATGCGATGGGAGCAAAATTAGGCGGCTGGGAGCAAATTCAGTAGAAGACACACCTTGAGGGCAAGAACAAGAGCAAAAATCAGTAGCCAACGTGAATCTAAGGTTTGGCTTTAATTTGAATCTCAGTCTTTCTTCTAACATTCTTTTGGACTCAAATCTGGTGAAAATATTGAAGTGGTGTATCTGAAAGATAACCTGGAGTTTTGTAAAAAATTGTTTTGCTATAGTCTATATACAAGGTTTAGCCGTCCACATATCCATGCAAGATTTGATTAATTTTCTCATAAATTCAAGTTTCTGTAGTTAGTTTCTCCCGTCATCATCTAAGTTGGTGACTCTTTGTCATTGAACAACATACTTTTTTTGTTCTAAGCTTCCATATGTGCTAATTGCTAAAGCAAGACCTCGGTATTCTTCAATCTTTGTTTAGCTCCTCACTCTTCCATCTTTGTATTCTTCAATTCCAATAAAATATGTGGATGCTACACTTGTGTTCTCATATGGTTTCTGGGAACTATTATTTTCACCTCCCAACTCACCATTCTTCTTTACCCCAACTGGCTGACAAGAGTTTTCTTGAAATTCCAAATGTTTCGAGGTACTGTAATTCAGTTGGTTTTTTTTTTGGTGAACTTTATATTCCTGCATTTCTTCAGCTGCTTTGGTAACATATCTGTTTTACAATTAGCATGACCATGTTTCTGTATTTGGGTACTCTCTATTTGCTGAAAAGTGTTGAATTAACATTTTTGGGGTGTTAAAGATTTGTAATTTTTTGGAGCACTACTGTGAGTACTAAAAGTATCCTAATTTAACATTTCTTTTCTTATTATCTTACTCGTAGAAAAAAGAAGTTTGATTATCCTGTTTTATTTCTATATTAAATAGGAATATGGATAATTTAGAGTGTGCTTGGATGTACGAGAGGTTGGATGACCGAGGGGGTATTAATTCTAATTTTGTAACTGGAGTGGATAGCTTTCTCCTATTTGCACGTTCTCAGCGAAATCGCATGAGTGGTGAGAATGTTCGATGTCCATGTAAAAAATGTTGCAACATTATATACATGGATGTTGAAACAGTTAGATTGCACCTTTTTATGTTTTGATTTGTTGAAAACTATTCTGTTTGGAAGTATCAAGGGGAAAAAGATATGACTGGTATGACGTCTTCTAGCAGTGATCTGCATGGTGGTGTTCAACCTGCATTAGGATATGACAATCCATACCGACAAATGATTTTAGATGCAGCTGGACCCAACTTTGGCCAGGGTTCTAGTTGGCAATCTTATAGTAATATTGAATTTGAGTCGTCTCATCATTTTGAGCCTTCAATGGAGGACGAGGCTAATCCTTCAATGGAGGAGGAGCCTAATCCTGAGTCTCAAAGGTTTTATGATTTGCTAAAGGCCGCTGATACAGAATTGTATCCTGGTTCTTCCCTCTCTCAACTCGCAGTAGTTTCTAGGATGTTAAACATTAAAATGGAGAACACTTAATCACAGATGGGATATGACCAAATAATGCAATTGATGAAAGAGGCTTTACCTGAAGATAACATAATGCTTGAAAGTTAGTATTAAACCAAGAAGCTAGTGCATAGCTTGGATTTGCCGGCTGAAAATATTGATTGTTGTAATTCAGGATGTATGTTGTATTGGGGTGACGATGAAGACCTCACATCTTTCAAGTTTTGTGGCTACGAGAGGTTTAAACGTCGCGTTGGTTCTCGTAAGAGGAAATTAGTCCCTTATAAAAGGATGTATTATTTTCCTTTGATTCCTAGATTGCGAAGATTATATGCATCTCATGCTACAGCAGGTTACATGAGATGACATCATGAGCATAACAAGAGGAGGGGGTAATGCGTCATCCATCATACTCTGAGGCTTGGAAGCACTTCAATGAAACTCATTCATTTTTTGCTGCTGAACCAAGGAATGTGAAGCTGGGGTTATGTAATAATGGTTTCCAACCATTTGGTCAGTCAGGAAGAAAATACTCTTTGTGGCCAGTGATTGTCACTCCATACAACTTACCTCCTTGGATGTGTATGAAAGAGGCGTACATGTTCTTAACTGTCATTGTTCCGGGGCCAACCGATCCTAAACAAAAAATTGATGTTTTTCTACAACCTCTAATAAAACAATTGACCTTGTTATGGGAGGAAGGTGTGGAAGCATTTGACATCTCAAAAAAGCAAAACTTTCAATTAAGGGCGGCTTTGATGTGGACAATTAATGACTTTCCAGCATATTCTATGTTATCAGGATGGAGTACTGCTGGCAAGTTAGCATGTCCTTATTGTATGGAGGAAGCACAATCTTTTAGATTACGTCATGGTGGGAAAACAACTTGGTTTGATAGTCATAGAATATTCCTTGACCAACATCATCCATTTAGGAAAGATCGTAAAAACTTTCTTAAAGGTCAGACTGTCAAAAGGCTACCACCAGCACTTACAACGTGAGAGGAAATTTTGAACCAAATTAGTGAGTTAGGGCTAAGGAAAGTAACAGAGGAAGATGCACAAGTAGTTAATTCAAGAATATGTAAATCTTGTGGATGGAAAAAGCGAAGCATCTTTTGGGATTTGCCTTATTGGAGTTCTAACATGATTCGGCATAATCTTGACATCATGCATATTGAAAAGAATGTCTTTGATAATGTATTTAACACAGTTCTTAATGTTAAAGACAAAACCAAAGACAATCCGAAAGCACGTCTGGATATGCTAACCTATTGTGATAGACCTCAGTTGGCAAAGGATGCTAGTGGAAAATATCCCAAAGTTGCATATACAATAGACAATGAAGCAAAAGATATCTTATTCGATTGGGTGAAAAGTTTGAAGTTTCCAGATGGGTATGTTTCAAATTTGGGTCGATGTCTAGAGACGAACAAGTCTAGGTTATTTGGCATGAAAAGTCATGATTGCCACGTGTTTATTCAACGATTAATGCCTATTGCCTTTCGTGAACTACTTCCTAGTAATGTGTGGCAGACACTTACAGAATTGAGCTTATTTTTTAAAGATCTTACTTCAACCACTCTACGAGTGGCTGACATGGAGAGATTAGCAATAGACATCCCACAGATCTTGTGTAAGTTGGAACGTATATTTCTACCGGGGTTCTTTAACTCAATGGAACATTTGCCCGTGCACCTGCCATATGAATCAAGAATTGCTGGACCTGTACAATATCGATGGATGTATCCTTTTGAGAGGTAAATTTAAAACTTCTATGTCATAATAGTGACAAGTATGCTACACATGACATTTTAATTTAACGGTCCATTCATTTATCTATTTAGGTACTTTGGAACTTTGAAAAAAATGATTGGGAATAAAGCTAGTGTTGAGGGATCTATTTGTGAAGCATACTTGATGACAAAGTCAACACAATTATTTTCTCATTATTTTGAACCTCATGTCATTACACGTAATCATAATGTGGACCAGAATGATGATGGTGGTGTTGTGGAAGATCATAAAGGAAATTTATCAATATTTACACATCCAGGTCGACTATCGGGAGAAGCAAAAAAGAGGAGTTTATCCTCGAAAGAAATCAAGGCTGCCCAAACTTACATTCTACTAAATTGTAAAGAGGTTGTGTCATTTGTAAGGTAACATTTGAATGTTATACTTGCTTAATCTTACAAATATTCATATATCAGAAGCACTAATTTTAACTTATTTTGTTGCAATGAAGTATGTACGTGGAATGTTTACAAGAAGAATATCCGAATCTATCTCAGGATCAAATAGATTAGAATCTCGAAACATATTTCTCTATATGGTTCAAGCAATATGTAAGCCTCCAACAATAATTTACTTTTATACAATAATGTACATAAATTGACTTGTTAAATTTAACTAAGTCTCACAATTTTTTAAATAGGTTTGAAGCAACCATATTGAGAATGCATTCTTGTATAGCCTTGCTCATGGACCATTGACAAGCACGATATGTCATTCAGTGTATTTTGTTTTTCGATATAAATTTTACACAGAAAGTCATGGTAGCGCAAGATCAACAATGAACAGTGAAGTTTGTATATCGGATCCAAATATTGGTGACTACTATGGTCGGATACAAGAGATATACAAGTAGAATATCGTGAAGAACCTTTAAAGAATACTGTATTATTCAAGTGTGAATGGTTTGACCCAACGATGAATGTTGGTGTTAAAAAGCATAATCAATACAAATTGGTGGATGTTAACCATCGTCGTCGATGTAAAAAAATATGAACCTTTTATTCTTGCGATGCAAGCAACTCAAGTGTGTTATGTTCCTTATCCTAGCAAGAGAAAGGACAAGGAGGATTGGTTAGCTGTATTGAAAGTTAAACCTCGGCATGTTGTTGAATTACCCGATGAGGAAGTGATGGCAATTTCAAATACGAATCTCCCCTTCCAAGTTGAAGAAGTTGAAGATCATGTGGTAGATATGAACATTGTCGTTGATGAAAATATACTCTTACATGATCCAAATGGGGATTTAATTGAAATGGATGAGCATGTTGATGATGAATTATTGCTAGATCATCATGAAATCGAAGAAGAAGAAGAAGAGTATGAAACAGAAGATACAGAGGATGATGAGGAAGATCTCGTAGAAGAAATAGATAGTGACTAGTGTGTTAATTAAAAATATGTTGATGTATCTTACTGTGTTTCGTTTGTTGTAATCTAAGCTGAATGCTATGTGTTTTGTTTGTTGTAATCTAAGTTGAATGCTATCCGCAAGAATATATCTATATTTATTGCTTTTCTTTGATGTCTAACTTCTCACTCATTTTCCTAAATTTATCACTTACTATAAAATTGAAAAATCTAGCAGTAATTTTGGCCTAATTCTTGACTTATACCAATGTTTTCTATTTGCAGGGACTTAATTCTTAACTTATACCAATTTATGACTCTAATTTGCTTACATGTAATTTTTTTTGTAGATATGACTAGAGGGAGAGGCAGAGATAGCATAGCTCGTGGAGGTGATAACTAGGGATTTTTCCATATTTTATACTCCTTCTTGCTTATGCTTTGGTTATAAATTGTTACAAAATAGTCCTAAAAGGCTCATAAGTGTGCTTGATTGCAGGTTTGATCGATAAAGTGACGAAATGTTAAGGATCGGCTTAAAAGGGAGTGAAACCTGCTCAAGTATCAAAGACAAGGCAAACTGAAGATAAAAAGGCCTAGTGCGGCCGCATTCGACTTTGTGCGGTCCGCACTAGGTAGATTCAGAGAGTTGGCCTTTACAAGCTTCAGGCAATGCGGCCGTTGTACATATTGTGCGGTTCGCGCTGAAGGCTCCGCGGTCGCACGACCATTTTGTGCGGTCCGCGGAGTAGAGATTCAGAGAGTTGAACTTGCCAGATTCCAAGCCTTTGCGGTCTGCGGTCATCTTTGTGCGGACCGCGATAGCTGCCTCCGCGGCCGTGGTCCATTCTGCGCGGTCCGCGGAGCCCAACTTCAGAGAGCCAAGTTTTGAAATCCAAGAGCCTTGTGCGGCCGCGGTCCATTTTGTGCGGCCCCCGCAGGCGTATTTTTATCCAGCTTTTACAGCTTAGTATAAATAGAATATTTTACCATTTTTTAGGTAATCAACTAATATCATAACTGAGCTGCGCTCGTGGGAACAACTTTTGTAGCCATTTTTGGCTTCTTAGCTTCAAATGAACGATAGATTCTTGTATTTTGATTTAGTATTTAATTAATATGTCTTGTTCTTCATCTATTTCTTCCTTTTCTCCTTCAAGCATGAGTAGCTAAACCCATTAGCTACGGTTGTGGCTCAACCCTAGTGTGGGTAATTGATGGGTGTTGGCATCTAGGGTTAGATTGACTATGGGTGTTTGCTATTTGGGTTGATTTTATGTTTTAATCTATAAATTGGTGGTTGCAAACACTGATTTGTGCTTTGAGGATTTGACTCTTCTTGAGAAAGAGAGTCTAAGTCCCCAAAATTGACCCAACAAGGAATTGGGATGTACTCATGAGAAATGATAGTCCCAATTAACGGGTTAAACCTCGAGAGAGTAATCACCCTACTTGAACCCTAGTTGCTTGATCTAATTCGCCTACCCATTTGGTCTCGAGAGAGTTAATTGGGCAAAATCATTCTCTCTACCGAGAGGTGTGAGAGTGGGTAAAATTGTGCAATGGTTATAGCATAAGCCCCAATTATGTCAATCGAACCTTAGTAACATCTACTCGTCAATTAGCCACCTAGGTGATGCCATGACCCTAGTGCCCTTCTTCCAATTAGATACAACCTTAGCAATTATTTTGTAGCATATTCTAGTTTCAATTAGTAGTTTGATAATAGTAGTTTATAATTGAAAAACCCAAAAATGATAAGACGATCAATTAAGAGCATACACGCGATTCTAGTCTAGATAGATGCCCAGCTCCAATTTCTAGCTCTCTGAGGAATTCGATCCCGACCCTCATATCGGGTAAAAGCTATTGCGACCCTCTCTTCTTACTTTATAGTAGCGTAGAGTTGGCAGCGATTAACTTTTTGGCGCAGTTGCCGGGGAGCTAACGGTTTTGGCTATCTATTTAGTTAGTTTTGTGTGTTGTTCTTCTTTCCTTCTTAGTTACTAATTTGTGTGTGTTATTACTACAGGTACCAAAATGGCTTTAAATGCAAACGACCCTCATGGAAATGTGCTTGCGGGGGAGGAGGTTGAGGATATTTGAGATGATGAGGTGCCTCTTGTACCTCCCGGACCACGAAGAGGCCGTCAAGCCAATGCTAATGACAATGTCCCAGACCCTCCTCCGCCACCTCCAAGAGCGGTTCCTCGGGTGCTACCGAACCAAGGATATGCAAGTGCTATTGTCCCACCCAGAATCTGGGCGGGCAATTTTCAAATAACAAACGTGATGTTGACCTTACTTGAGCAGCGTGGGTATTTCACGGGCGATGCGGATCAAAATGCCTACAAACACTTGAAAGGGTTTGTGGATACATGTTGGGGTAGCAAGCAAACGAATGTGTCCGAAGATGCTCTTAGATTGAGACTTTTCCCGTTCTCACTTCGGGGAAAGGCATTGGATTGGTTAGAGAGACTCCCCAATCATTCCATCACCACTTGGGATGAGTTGGCGGATAAATTTGTTGCTAAATTCTTCTCACCCGGGCATATGACGGCACTTCGAGATGAGATATTGGCTTTCAAACAAGAACCCACGGAACCTTTGCATGAGATTTGGGAGCGGTTTAGAACAATGGTGAAAGAATGCCCAAACAACAATATGACCGAGGCGATGATTCACCAAACCTTCTATCGGGGCATCAATACTACAAATCAATGCATAGTCAATCAATTGGCCGGGGGTAATTTTATGAAGTTGTCTTATGACGAAGCTTGCAATATTCTTGATGAGATGGCCGACACTTCTTCGGCTTGGCAAAGTAGGGCCAATGTTCCTCAAGGCGACCCTACGGTAATCCATTTGCACAAGGAGTTACATGGCTATGGACAAGCTATAGCGGAGTTGACAAATACTATGAATCAATTGTCTAAGGCACAGTTGCAACAAGTCCAAAACCCTCGCCAAGTGAATGCTGTGGATAGTGTTAATTTGCTTACCAACAAGAGAAGGCAAAGGAGGCAACAAAATCAAGGAAATTCCGAGCAATTTGATGATGAGTGTGATGGGTTTCAAAATGATGGCTATGATGAACAAAATGAAGAGGTACAATATGTTAACAACTATCAAGGCAATAGAGGCAACTCTTCAAACCAACAATGGCGACCTCAAGGTAATTGGGGCAATCAACAACAAGGTGGTGGTAATTGGAACAACAACAACCAAGGCGGTAATTGGGGGAACAACAATCAAGGTAACCAAGGGCATTGGAATGGTAATAACAACAATTGGAACAACAATGGTCAAGGTGGGTGGAACAACAATGGAAACCAAGGCAATCGGGGACAAGGCTTTCAAAGGCCCCCGATGTACCAACAACTGAACAATCCACCCCCGTTCCCTTCTCAAGGATCGAGTTCTTCGGGTAATGATATGGGAAGAATATAAATGATGTTCGAACAAATGATGAAAAAGAACCAAGATTCCGATGCTCAATCGGCTTCCCATAATACCTCCATTTGGAATTTAGAGGTGCAATTAGGCCAAATCTCTCAATCGTAGTGAACCCTAAGGGTGGGAACAATCATGTGATGGCGGTTACAACACGAAGTGGAAGAGGCGGTGATGTGCATGCTTCGAAAGACAAGCAAGTTGTGGATGATGATGTTGAGTTGCAAGAAAATGATGTTCCTTTGGTAGTTGAAGATGTGGTTGAGAATGAGGTGAACAATGATGTGAGGATTGACATTGATGAAGCCGAGGTGGAAACTCAAGAGGCCGTGAACCCATCTAGGGAGCACATAATTGACATGCCGGAATCGATGGTGCCAAGGCACCTTTGCCTAGACCACCTCCCCCCTATCCTCAAAGGCTAGCCAAGCAGAAAAGTGACAACCAATTTAAAAAGTTCATTGACATGATGAAGAGCTTATCCATCAACGTGCCCTTGGTGGAGGCTTTGGAACAAATGCCTGGGTATGCAAAATTCATGAAAGATTTGGTTACAAAGAAGCGTTCCATGGATTGTGAAACAATAAAGATGACTCACCAAGTCAGTGCGATAGTGCATTCAATGGCCCCGAAATTAGAGGATCCTGGTGCTTTCACTATCCCTTGCACCATTGGTAGTGCAGACTTTGCCAGGGCTTTATGTGATCTTGGGGTAAGCATCAATTTAATGCCCTTCTCAGTTTTCAAGACTCTAGGTATTAGGCCTCCAAGGCCAACTTCCATGAGATTACAGATGGCAGATAGATCAATGAAGCGTCCTTTGGGTATAGTTGATGATGTGCTTGTCCGGGTGGACAAATTCATTTTGCCGGCGGACTTTGTGATTTTGGATTGTGAAGTGGACTGCGAGGTTCCAATTATTCTAGGGAGACCTTTCCTAGCAATGGGGAAGACATTGGTTGATGTTGAAGCGGGTGAGCTAACTTTCCGAGTGGGAGATGAACAGGTGGTCTTCCATGTTTGCAAATCCATGAAGCAACCTAATAGCACCGAGGTGTGCTCTTTTGTGGACATTGTCGCAGCTGTGATAGTGGATGACACATGTTCTATGATCAACATGGAGGATCCTCTTGAGGCCGTGCTCTTAAATCTTGATGTCAACGATGATGCAAGCAGAGTGGAGTGTGTCAATGCTCTACATGGGATGGGCTCTTATTCTTATGAGCCGAGAAAATTGTCTTTGGATCTTGAAAATCGGAAAACTCGACCAACAAAACCATCAATTGAGGAGCCACCAGTGTTGGAGTTGAAGCCACTTCCTTCACACCTCAGGTATGAATTTTTGGGCTCTAATTCAACTTTTCCAGTTATTCTTTCTTCTTGCCTTACTAACTTGCAGGTTGAGGCCACTTTGGAGGTGCTTCAAAGGCGAAAAAGAGCAATTGGATGGACTCTGGCGGACATCCGGGGAATAAGCCCTGCATTTTGCATGCATAAAATTATCTTGGAGGATGATGCAAGACCTTCCTTAGAACATCAAAGGAGGCTAAATGAAGCAATACAAGAGGTGGTGAAGAAAGAAGTGATCAAGTGGCTTGATGCGGGCGTGGTGTATCCAATCTCTGATAGCTCATGGACTTCCCCGGTGCAACGTGTACCGAAGAAAGGTGGGATGACGGTGGTGACAAATGACAACAATGAGCTTACTCCCACTCGAACCATTACCGGGTGGAGAGTTTGCATGGACTACCGAAAGCTAAATAAAGTGACCCGCAAGGATCATTTTCCCTTGCCATTCCTCGATCAATGCTTGATCGCCTTGCGGGGCGAGCTTTCTATTGTTTTTTGGATGGGTATTCGGGATATAATCAAATTTTAATTGCCCCGGAGGACCAAGAGAAGACCACTTTTACATGCCCATATGGTACATTTGCTTTCTCCCGGATGCCATTCGGGTTGTGCAATGCTCCGGCGACCTTCCAACGTTGCATGATGGCTATTTTCACCGACATGGTGGAAGACATATTGGAGGTCTTTATGGATGATTTTAGTGTGATTGGTGATTCCTTTGAAGAGTGCTTGGTAAATTTAGATAGAGTCTTGACCCGATGTGAAGAAACTAATCTCGTTCTCAATTGGGAAAAATGCCATTTTATGGTTGAAGAAGGTATAGTGTTGGGTCACAAGATTTCTAAGAATGGGATTGAGGTAGACAAGGCTAAGATCGAGGTGATTTCAAGGCTTCCTCCCCCCACTTTTGTTAAAGGGGTGAGGAGTTTCCTTGGGCATGCCGGGTTCTACTGGTGGTTTATCAAAGATTTCTCGAAGGTTGTGAGTCCCCTTTGCAAGTTGCTAGAGAAAGATGCTAAGTTTGTTTTTGATGATAAATGCATGGAGGCCTTTGAACTTCTAAAGCACAAGTTGACCACCACCCCGATCATTACCGCTCCCAATTGGAGTTTGCCCTTTGAACTAATGTGCGATGCAAGTGACGTTGCGGTTGGAGCGGTGTTGGGTCAACGAGTGAACAAAAGGTTCCATCCCGTGTACTATGCAAGCAAGACTATGAATGAAGCTCAACGGAACTACACGGTGACGGAGAAGGAATTATTGGCTATAGTGTTTGCCATGGAGAAATTTAGGCCATATCTTATGGGGGCCAAGGTTATTGTGCACACCGACCATGCCGCCCTTAGGTATTTGATGACCAAAAAAGATTCCAAGGCAAGATTGATGAGATGGGTATTACTTCTTCAAGAGTTTGATTTAGAAATAGTGGACCGCAAAGTTAGTGAGAACCAAGTTGCGGATCATTTGTCCCGCTTGGGAGAAGAAGGAAGGCCGTGTGATGGATTAGAGATCAATGATACATTCCCCGATGAGCAACTACTTTCTGTGTCAATGTGTGACATGCCATGGTTCGCGAACATTGCCAATTTCATTGTGACTGGGATTGTCCCGTGTGAGCTCTCTTCTAACCAAAGGAAGAAGCTCAAACGGGATAGTTTGGATTTCTACTGGGATGATCCGTACTTGTTCAAGATTTGCACGGATGGGGTAATTCGAAGGTGTGTCCCGGAGGGTGAGCAATTGAGTATTTTGGAGGCTTGTCATTCCTCCCCCTATGGTGGCCATCATGGAGGGGTGAGGACGGCTTCGAAGGTTTTGAGTTGTGGTTTCTATTGGCCAACCTTGTTCAAAGATACCAGTGATTTGGTAAAGAGATGTGATCAATGCCAACGAGCGGGCGGGATTTCCAAGAAAGACGAGATGCCTCTTAACATAATTCTTGAGGTTGATATCTTTGATGTATGGGGTATCGATTTTATGGGCCCTTTTGTTAGCTCGTGCGGGAACACTTACATTCTTGTAGCAGTGGACTATGTGTCAAAATGGGTTGAGGCCGTGGACTTGCCTAATAATGAAGCTAGGAGTGTGGTGGCATTTCTTAAAAAGAGTATCGTTATAAGGTTTGGTACACCCCGGGCAATCATTAGTGATGGTGGATCGCACTTTTGTAATAGAGCTTTTGATACCTCGCTCTCCAAGTATGGTGTCAACCATAAAGTCTCTACACCTTACCATCCGCAATCAAGTGGTCAAGTTGAAGTATCAAATAGAGAAATCAAGAGCATCCTGTCCAAAACTGTCAATGCTAATAGGACCGGTTGGTGTTTGGGAAAGCATGTCACCTACCAGTGGAATTGGAGCATAAGGCTAGTGGGCCTTGAGGAAGCTTAATCTTGAGTGGGATGTTGCGGCCAATCTTCGTGTTGAACAACTCAATGAACTTGATGAATTCCGGTTCCATGCATACTCTAGTTCGTCCTTGTATAAGGACAAGATGAAGTACCTTCATGACAAATATGCTCGTGGAAAGGAGTTCAAAGTTGGTGATTTGGTCCTCTTGTTCAACTCCCGTCTAAAGTTGTTTCTCGGGAAGCTGAAATCAAAGTGGAGTGGGCCATTTGAAGTTGTATGTGTAACCCATTTGGTGCTCTAGATTTGAAAAAAAAAATTGGTGAAGTCATTAGGGTGAATGGGCACCGTGTCAAGCATTATCTTGGGAAGTTTGATGATAGCCACGTGGTGGCTGTGGTTCATTTCAAATGATGTGATGGTAACCCGCGTCGTGCCGCGACGTTAAATCAGGCGCTTCTTGGGAGGCAACCCATGTGTTTTTCTTTTTTGTTTTCTTTGATTTTCTTGGTAGTTAGGATTGATTTTTGAGCTAATTGGTTGTGAGACATTGCAGGGATTGAGTTGATGCAGTGCAGGGCATAAGTGCAGAAATGGCAAGTCTCTGAAGTATTCCAGTGCGGCCGCACAGCCATTTTGTGCGGTCCGCACTGGTGTGAGCAAGAAATAATGACTCTGAAGTTTGCCACCGCGGCCGCATTCCATTTTGTGAAGACCGCGGTGGACCTCCGCGACCGCGGTCACTTTTGTGCGGACCGTAGAGGTTGCCTCCTCAGACTTCTGTTGAACAAACCCAGCGCGGTCCGCGGTCCATTTTGTGCGGCCGCGCTGGTGGGTAAGACTGGGTCCCACACCTTTTTTCTATAAATAGACCTCAAGGGCCTCCTTTTACCCTTTTCGAACCCTAATCACTCGGAGCCCTAAAATGTTACTATTCATCTTCTCTTTTGCACGTAACTCTTTGCTTAGATTGAACGCTTGCATTCCATTTTCACATCTGGTAACATTTCATCCATTTTTCTTTGTTTAATTTTATAACTTCATTTTATTTTCATGACCAGTAGCCCATAGCTTCTTCTTTTTTCTCATTTTTCTCTATTTGATTAGCTTAGGTTAGTTTTAAATACTGGTCTTTGTGTGATTGATGTGCATAATGAGTGGGAAATTGAGTAGGGACAAAGTAGGTGATGATTTGAACAAAATTGCAACAAAAACTTAAACCCTAACTGAGTGCCCTTAATCAGTACCCCTCGCGGACCGCAGTCACTTTTGTGCGGTCCGCGGTGCTTAAGTTCTAAGAAATGTCCTGTGCCAGCGCGGCCGCATTGCACTTTGTGCGGTCCGCGCTGACCCACCACGGCCACGATACCATTTTGTGCGGGCCACGGTGGTGAGGTTCAGAGAGCTAAGTTTGGGGCCTTTAAACATGTGCGGACCGCGGCCATTTCTGTGCGGTCCGCGGTGGCTTCAGTGCGGCCGCACTACCATTTTGTGCGGTCCGCACTGGCCTGTTCCGGCAACTGTTTCTGCAACTGCTGAGCTTCTGTTCTGCAATTCATGCTGCATCTATTTCACTACCTCTACTGATACTAACAAAGCTAGATGTGTGTGTTTGCAGATAATGGTTAGACAACAAGGAGGCAAAGGAACAAAACACCCCGGGAGAGGTGGTTCCTCCCGAGGGGGCAAAGGAAAAAGAGTGGTAAAACTCACTCCCCAAGCTCGGGAAAACATCAAAAAGACCCGGAAGTTGATAAAAGCTGCAGATAAAGCTGCTTCCCATTCTTCCGGGAGTGAGTATGTGCCATCCCAGGACATCTCCTCAGACTCAGTCCAACTCACATCACCACCCACTTTCAACTGACTGATACCCCTCCAGCATCACCCACTATTCGGAGGCCAGTAAATGTAGTTTCTGATTCATCTGAGGGATCGGAAGCAGGTAGTGGAGACTACTCCACCTCCCCCACAGCTTCTTTATCTGGGGAGAGTGCAGGCGGAAATGAGGAGGAGGTATAGGTGCTGAAGGTGGTGAGCCTCAAGTCGGAGGCGTTGCTCGAACTAGAAAACCTGAGGAGTGGGAGGATAGATTTGTAAGCCAAGTTGCCTATCATAAGTTTAGGGAGTGGTGGCCGGTGAGGCATTTGATACCGGAGAGGAGCTTTATTGACAAACATCTACTTCCCCACAACCCGAACGTGCAAAGGGAGTTTAGAACTAGAGTGGGCTGGGAAGTTTTTATGGAGAGGTGTATTGATGCGAATGAACATATGGTCAGGGAATTCTATTGTAATGTGGCCCACATTGTCAAGGGTTCCAAAGTGACCAAGGTAAGAAACAAAAAGGTGTTGTTCGACGGTCAGTCTCTGAATGAATATTTGGGCTTCAACGAAGAGGACGAGACTCTATACTTGGCAAAGTTAGAGATGGGTGAGGGGGTCCGTCCATGGTTAGCCCAGTACTTGGCAATCCCAGGTACCGTTCCGGAGTGGTTAACTGCGGGGGTAAAAATTCTGAGGGGGCCTCTGAACTTTGAAGCTAAGGGTTGGGAAACCTTCGTTTGCAGCAGGTTGGACCTTACCACACATGACCAGACTCTTCCTATCCATCGGGCTGTGTTGGTTGCATCTATCATGGCGGGATACCCCATCAATGTGGGGAATGTGATGTCCCGCATCATCTCTCTTATGGGTGCGGAAGCTAACCGAAACTACCCTTTCCCCAACACTCTCTCTAAGTATTTCCGGGATTTGGAGGTGGAAAAGAAGCCGTATGATGTCAAGGCCAAGCCGGTTACTCCATTCTCCTGGTACAGTTTGAGGGGGCCAGACAACCCCAAGGACAAGCACTACAAGCCCCCTACTTCTGCCCCAACTGGCCAGTCTGAAGAGCCAGTTGAGGTAGAGGCCTCCACAGCTGTTGTGATGCCTCCCAGACCTTCCACTACTGCAGATTTGCCTCCTGGTCCTTCTACCTCAGCCGGCCCGGAGATTCCATCTTCCCGGGCCCATCCTATCACTGCCCACAGACTACACCAGACACTTCAGAGCCTGAACAACTGGATGTATATTGCTTCATCCAAGTTGTCCACTTTGACCTCCACCATTGCAGCTCAGTCGGCTCCTCCACCAGTTCAGGTCCCACAGTCTATAGAGGATGCTTTGAAGAAGTTGCTTGATAACCAGGAGAAGATCCTTAGCACCCAGGCCGAGTTGGTGAAGGCAGTGGCGTCACATGGCAAGGATCTCAAAGAGCTTGCCAAGGAGCACAAGAAGCTGCGCAAGACACGGGCTTCCAGGGAGTCCGTGAAGGAGCTCAGGGCGGATGTAAAGAGCCTGAAGGCTAACCAGCTGCCTTTAGATTTATTATTTGAGGACCCAGCTTCAGCAGCAGTCCCAGCAGCAGCCACAGTTCCGGAGCAGTCATAGAGGCCTCTTAAGAGGAAGAGGACTATCCCGAGAGCAGATGATGCCATTATCCTGTTGGCAGACCCAGCGGAGGCTTCCTCCAGTCAGCCACAGGATGCACCAGATCCACAGCCAGTCCAGGTCCAGTCCCAGGTCCCAGCAGTTGAGCAGCAGGAGACCGGGAACCAGTCTGAGGTTCCCGAGCATACCGAGGACCACTCATGTTCCTATGCAAACGGACGAGGCTTAGGGAGTCCTCATATCCTTTCACTACTTTTTGGTGCTTATTTTTGTTTTAGTTGGCATTGGGGACAATGNTATATATATATATATATATATATATATACTGATTTACTTTATGCTTTCTTTGATTTTCACTTGGTCTGTATATAATCTTGCACTTAGTAACTTTTATCGTACTTTTTTATCTTTCTTTTGGTTTATATATAAAGTTATATCATTGTATATATTCATTCCCCGTTGTATATTCATTCTTCTATTGTACATATTCATTCTATTTTCTATTTTCGCAAAAAAAAAATTCGTTTTTAGCTTCTTATATAGGCTCGTAGCCTTGTGTTTTATTTTGGACGTTTTTAATAAGCCTTTGGTTTTCTTAATGCCACGGTTCTTTCCAAAGGTGGAGTTTTGTGTGAACCGGGTGGATCTTCTCAATGATAGATGGCGTGACAACCTTCTTAAGGGTTTGAGTCAGTTTTTGTTTTTTTTGTTTTTGGTAGTTTGTAGTTAAGGGTACCTCAAGCAAATCTTCACTTGGGCCTAGCACATTTGCCTTTGATCCCATGGTCAAAGACAAAATGTTGTGTTTAGGATGGTGAAAGTCGTGGCCTTAAGACTCTTGCGTTGGCCAATAATCATCGAGTGGTTTTTCGGGACCATTGTGTGCTCAAATCATATCTAAGGTCGTTGTGGGCCCCTGACTCGATGTCTTTAGCAATCCCTTAGCTTGTGTGGTGAGAAATCGAATTGCGAGTCCAAGTTCCGAGCCATTGGTCTAGAACTTGCCCTAAATGTTTGTTGAGGCGAAATCTTAAGTGAAAGTTGACTTGAGAAGTGATTATAGGCCATCCTTGATCCAAATGATAGTTGAACAAATTCCACAGCCTACCAATGATATGATCCCTAGTTAACCCTTTTGAGCCTTAGACCTTTTTCTTTCAAAAACCACGTTACAAGCCTATACCCATTCTAAAAGATACCCTCTCTTGGCACCCGATCTTTCCTTAAGCACATGGCAAAAACATAAGTTTGGGGGAGAGACGAGGATGACAACAAAGTGGTATGAGGCACAAAAATGAAGAAAAGGAAAGGCAATAAAAAAGAAAGAAAAGCAAAAAGACAAAAAGAATGCTCAAAGTGAGAAAGATTAAGAAGGGATTCAAGAAAAGTAAAAGAAATAAAGGTGCGGAAAAATTGAAAAAGGAGAAAAGAATTGAAATGCATAAGAAAGAGTGACAATGTGTCTCTCTAACCCCTTGGAAGAGGTGAAATGACTCAAAGAGTCAAGTGAATTGTGCCAAATGAATCTAAAGAAGTGCTTAAGGGAAGATTGAACCCACTTGAACAAAAACATGTCCTACCCTTACCCAAAAGCCTTCACAATGACTCCACAAAAGCCCTATAGGATCTTGAGTTGAATGTAGCTTACATTAGTGGATACTTACATAAGGGGCAAGCATATGATACTTAGAGCCGGACTTGCGACCTTTTCTTGAGAGAGATGAGTGAATTCCTATTAACTTCTATTTATGTGTCAATACTCTAAAAAGGTGAGGATTGCCTAGGGATAGTTAAGGATGTGTGAGTTTGGGTTCCACAATGACCAAAGTAATTGAGAGAGTTCTTTGATGTATTGAGTCAACTCTTGATGATCTTGTGCCACACTTGATCCATGGTTTTTCAAAGGTTAAAAGTTATTAATGATTCATTCGTATTGAGGGCAATTGTTAGTCCCAATTGATGCTTGTTGAGGATACTTTAGGACAGCTGAAAATACTTGGATTTTCCCTTAAGGGGTGGGTCTTGTTTTGTTTGCTTGAGGACAAGCAAAAGTTTAAGTTTGGGGGAGTTGATAACTAGGGATTTTGCCATGTTTTATACTCCTTCTTGCTTACGCATTGGTTATAAATTGTTACAAAATAGTCCCAAAAGGCTCATAAGTGTGCTTGATTGCAGGTTTGATCGATAAAGTGACGAAATGTCAAGGATTAGCTCAAAAGGGAGTGAAACCTGCTCAAGTATCAAAGACAAGGCAAACTGAAGATAAAAAGGCCTAGTGCGGCCGCATTCGACTATATGTGGTCCGCACTAGGTAGATTCAGAGAGTTGGCATTTACAAGCTTCAGGCAATGCGGCCGCTGTACATATTGTGCGGTCCGCGCTGAAGGCTCCGCGGCCGCACGACCATTTTGTGCGGTCCGCGGAGTAGAGATTCAGAGAGTTGAACTTGCCAGATTCCAAGCCTTTGCGGTCCGCGGTCATCTTTGTGCGGACCGCGGTAGCTGCCTCCGCGGCCGCGGTCCATTCTGCGCGGTCCGCGGAGCCCAACTTCAGAGAGCCAAGTTTTGAAATCCAAGAGCCTTGTGCGGCTGCGGTCCATTTTGTGCGGCCCGCACTGACCCCGCAGGGGTATTTTTGTCCAGTTTTTACAGCTTGGTATAAATAGGACATTTTACCATTTTTTAGGTAATCAGCTATATCAGAACTGAGCTGCGCTCGTGAGAACAACTTTTGTAGCCATTTTTGGCTTCTTAGCTTCAAATTAACGATAGATTCTTGTATTTTGATTTAGTATTTAATTAATATATCTTGTTCTTCATCTGTTTCTTCATTTTCTCCTTCAAGCATGAGTAGCTAAACCCATTAGCTAGAATTGTGGCTCAACCCTAGAGTGGGTAATTGATGGTGTTGCCATCTAGGGTTAGATTGACTATGGGTGTTTGCTATTTGGGTTGATTTTATGTTTTAATCTATAAATTGGTGGTTGCAAACACTGATTTGTGCTTTGAGGATTTGACTCTTTTTGAGAAAGAGAGTCTAAGTCCCCAAAATTGACCTAAGAAGGAATTGGGATGGACTCATGAGAAATGATAGTCCCAATTAACGGGTTAAACCTCGAGAGAGTAATCACCCTACTTGAACCCTAGTTGTTTGATCTAATTTGCCTACCCATTTGGTCTCGAGAGAGTCAATTGGGCAAAATCATTCTCTCTACCGAGAGGTGTGAGAATGGGTAAAATTATGCAACGGTTATAGCATAAGCCCCAATTATGTCAATCGAACCTTAGTAACATCTACCCGTCAATTAGCCACCTAGGTGATTCCATGACCCTAGTTCCCTTCTTCCCATTAGATACAACTTTAGCAATTATTTCGTAGCATAATCTAGTTTCAGTTAGTAGTTTGATAATAGTAGTTTATAATTGAAAAACCCAAAAATGATAAGAAGATCAATTAAGAGCATGCACGCGATTCTAGTCTAGATAGATACCCAGCTCCAATTTCTAGCTCTCTGAGGAATTCGATCCCGACCCTCATATCGGGTAAAAGCTATTGCGACCCTCTCTTCCTACTTTATAGTAGCGTGGAGTTGGCAGCGATCAGGAGGCAAGTCCTCAGTTAAGGGTCGAGGTAATTCTGCTATTCGTGCAAATATGCCTTCTTTTCCCATTTCCATAATTAGTCCTCAACAAGGTGGTACGAGTTCTTTAGTTGGGCAGAATCACATAAATCAAGTACAAACTTTAGCTCCTAGCAGTACGACACCCGTTCAAACATCAGGTCATGGTAGTACGCCAACTATCCATTCTGAATCATCTCCTAATACACCCGATCAGAGTAACCCAATAGGTGAGGGCATATGCAACACAATTGGCGAAGGTGAGTGCACCAGTAGTCGCGGGCAGCAGACACTTGTTACTCTTGCTCCTACAGGGTTAGTCCATGTTTTTACTATTATTTTTATATAGAAATTTTGATTTATGATACCCCTTCAACTATTGTCTTCAAATTTTTTCAGGTTAGAACCTAGTGGATTATGCTCGACGAAAATATTTAAATCTTTCAAGCATGAACTTGATCCCAATGGAATCAATTGGAAAAGTGTCTCTGACGAGATAAAAAAACTTTTATTGGGGAGAATTCAAGGTATAACTTCTCATTATATAATGAATTTAGGAAGTATATTAACTGTTATAAATAAGATATTAATGTTATTACTTTATAAAATTATTTCAGAAGAAATTCTATTGGGACTCGTCCATTGATAGTGCAGTGAGGAGCCAATGGGAGAATAAGGCATCAATAAGGTACAAATATTTCATTTCCAAAATGAAAACTAAAAAAATTAGGCCAAGAGGTGTTCCAGAAGAAGTGTGGGAAAGTTGGGATCAACTTTGGAAAGATTCCAAGTGTGTTAAAAAGTCAGAAATAAATGCAAATAATCGTCGTGGCGGTAGGGTTGGAGTCTCCACCGGGACTCACACAGGCGGCTCTATCTCCATTGGGGAGTATCGCAAGAGACTTGTAAGTATATCGCAACCTTAGCTTTATTGCAACTCTGAACGTAAAATTTCTTCTTGTTGGTGTTAAGAATTGCTTATAGTAACCTTAGCTTTCATATCGTCCAAAAGGAATCAAAATGTACCAAAGTTTTGCCAGTGAAAAATGTTCCCTTTGATAGTTGCTAGTGAAAAATGTTCCCTTCACAGTAAAACCAGCAATATGAGAGTGTAGGAATATACACATTGCTTTGTCTGCTAGTTAAACACTATGGAATCTAGGCTGCTTGCTAGCTCTACCTTACTATGTCTATAGAGTTCTGTTTAAGAGTCAAAGTATGATTATCTTGGCTCTGCTTGATAGCCCGTTATCTTCTCTGAGTATCATGACATGTGTGATGATAATTCTTAGTCTAAAATGCTTAGTCTGAGTAGTTCAGTATACAATGATGTGTTGATTATGAACTAGTATTTGTTTGTGATTAAATGACTGTCCTGAGGTTATTTTGGTTTCCTGAAAGTTCTAATCCATTATGTGACCCTCCATGACCATATTTGATTGAAACTATGACTTCTAAGAAGATTATATAAGTTTCATGGCATGATTCTGAGTTGACTTTGAGCCTTTGAAACCTCTTTAAACTTTG